TCCTGATTGATTGCTTTAACAATGACCGCTTCGATTGGTGTGAAAGCAACAGGCATATTAGTAAAATCTTTATCAAAATTGCTTGTATCGCGTGGGTTAATCTATTCAGAATGTAACATAATGCTTGAACACATCGACAGATCTCAATGTTATTACGTACCACTTTGGGTTTGAATGGTGGTTTAATTTGTCGACGTTCCAATGCTTCCCAATCGATTTTTCCTGCGAAAAATGCATGACGTTTTATTGCTTCTTCACCACCTTGTGCTGCTACACAGCCAAGACGTTTCGCCGGATTCTTCGTCATGAACTAAAAATCAACCAAGTTTGCTTTTTCGTCGTCGATGTCTTTCACAATAGTTACCGATTTAAGTATATGTACGGCTTCTTTGGATAACCAAACCGGATAGAGTACCTCATCACGTAAAATTGATTCAAAAAGACTGTCTTCATCATCAGCTTCGAATGGAGGTTGCCCTGCCATCATTTCGTACATGAGAACACCCAACGCCCACCAATCAACAGAGAATGAATAATCAAGTTCTTGAAGTATTTCCGGAGCAATATAATCTAATTACAGAAAAGAAGATTACAATGACTTCTGCGCATTCTTATTCTCGAGTAATCATACCGGGTGTGCCGCAAAATGTCGAAGTTAATTTTCCGTCAAAAATGCCTTCTTTACACATACCAAAGCTAGAAAATAAAGTGAATTCTTCAAGCTCCATTCTTTAACACTTCATTGATCGGATCTCTTAGCTGTCAAGAGCACAAACTAGCGTAGATTTTCTTACTTGCTCTCACTCTGCTGAACAAAGTATTCAAATAATAATCGAACGAAAAAGAAACTGTAAATACATACTCAGCAATTTTACAATGACCTTCGGCGTCAAGTAAAATATTGTCTAGTTTGAGATCACTAAAGATAAGCAAGCATATGTATTTATTTGTTTCTCTCGTTTATCATGACTTCTAGTTTACCGATAAATAACGCCATGTCGATGTAAAAACATTAAGGCTAAAGTAACTTCCGATGCGTAAAAACGTGCGCGTGATTCATCGAACTTTCTTGAACGTTGAATTTGGAACATTAGATCACCACCATTGACATATTCCATGATTAAAAACAAACGTTCCTAAAACCGAACAGAAATTTCGTTTCATCATCGGACATGTTCGTTCATTGACCAAACCTTTGTTTGAAAACTACAAAACAATCCAGTTAAGAATGGATGTCGGGTTGATAAGGCTAAAATTCGTCGTTCAGTCATCGTACATTCAACATCATCATTTTGAATAATTGCATCTTTGCTAAGAACTTTTATCGCAAAAATTTCACCAGTTGGCTTATGTTCACCTAATAAAACCTGTACACAAAGACGAGATATTGTCATCGTGAATCATCTGCCTGTCTTACTTTTCCAAATGATCCTTTGCCGAGAACTTTCATAAATTGAAAATCGTCAATTGAGAAGTTATGTGGCCGTTTTGACGAACTATCATCCGATGAAGCAGATGGTGGTGGAGTAGGAGTTTTGCTTGCAGTCGGTGTTGATGATGCAGTTGTCGAAGATGCAGTGGATGCTAAAACCGAATCATTTCTCTATGATAAAGTCAACAAAATGATCTTACTGTCGACTTCACTTGGCACATTTGTCTAAACGAGAATTGCACTTGTTCATGTGGAGAAATTAATGAATAGAATGTCGAGACTCACCATTTTTTGAGGAGTACTTATATTGAGATCAGCAAGAACAGTAGCAAGTTTCTTCTTATCCAAACCGCAATCATTCGCAACATTACGCGTACAACGTTTATGTACGTTCAGTTTACACTCTATTGTTTTTGGAAAGAAAAACAAACAAACATAAATTCAGCACTCAAATCGATGAATTGCTTGTCGAGAAAAACGATTTCTTTCCTTAAGGTTATATCAACTCATTTAATCTTTTCGCTTGTTATTATTATTAGCCCAGGTGGTTTTGTTTCTTCTCTCTTCTGTTAGAACAGATGTTTTCGTTAATCTCAAAATATTTTACCTCGACATTGCATTCCTTGATTCCACGCGCCCCATAGAAGTGATCCACAATGATCGCAAAAAGTAAATAATCGATATGTATGTGCGACAAATCGATGTGGGACATTAATTTTGAATCTTTTTTCACGATACTACAACAAAAGCAATAGATATTCACACTCTAAATCGGTTATCTTCTCATACTTCAAAACACGTTCGAATCCCTGGACATGTTGTAACTACTGATGCTTTGCAACGTTTGTGTATCACACATGTACAAACTAAAACAGAAGAAAGAAGAAAATGAAAATGAAAATGAAGTGAAGGCTATCCGTGACACGTATGAGAAGTTCGATTGACAACACAACAAACAAAAGCAAAGGGATGAAGAGAAAACGTTCGGGAAGCAACATTCATGATTCTTACCTTGACATTGATAACCTTGTGTACGAAATATTCCCCTGGAAAAATGATTAGATTTGCCTTCTTAGTAGTCTCTCTCGAGCCGCAAAATACAGAATCGAAAGGAAAGCAGCGAAAGGATATCTTACCAAATGAATTCGGAACAAATTGAGCAAAATGTTGGTTGTCGAAAGAAGGTCGCCATAAATTTATGTCCATTTATTTCATAAACACGACGCACAACGGCAAAACGACGTTGAGCAAAAGCTCGTTTATTTTGTTTGAAATGTCGTTCATTGTTAACAGCTAAAACACAATCAATAATCAACATGTTTTTTGTTCACAAGTACAACGCTTACAATCACTGAATTGTCCTTGCAGTTCAATCGATATATGAATTCGTCCAGCTGGTTCCAGATCAATCCAAATGTCACTTTTCTTATCATGAATACTGTCAAATTTGACTGTACTATCAGCAACATATTCATCCGGGGGCAATGCGGCGTCATGAAATATCGTAAAGTGTAATTGATGACCATTATGTACATCACTGGTAAATTCCTCGTTAAAGGTTGGTGAAGTTGTTTTTTCTCTCGTGTGTGTTCGTCCTAATGGTAGATCGTCGATATCGATCGATACGTATGGACTAACGAACGATAATGAAGGATTTTGAGGAAAATATCGTACTGAATGTTCAGTTGCACGAAGGTTATCGGCTTCGATCACCTTTAAACGCATGTGTCCATTGAAAACCACCATTGTTATTCACAAAACTTTGCCTAAGATTAAATTTGCAAGATGAATAAGAACATGACTATTTGCAGCTGCTGTTGACAAAATCCGGAAAGGGAAAAAAAACAACAAGAGGAATGAGAAATCTGGCAGCCATTTTTCTTTTTCTTGCAGGGAGATATTTCGATCCTTCCGAAATATTTACTTTTAAATCTTCGACTAAAAAACAACAAAGTTCAATTATTGAAAAAAGATTTCTTTTCAATGAAAATAAACACGTCAACAAATGTCCACAGACAGATGGCGCTAGTCGATGACTCTATCGAAAAATACATTATACCTGCAGGGAATTAGCGAGAAGAATTATCATGCATTCAGTAAACACATCATCTACACGATGACTGTTCGTCTATCAGATAGCGCACAAAACAACAACGAGAAAAATTAATTGACTGATAGAATCATGTCTGGTGTGAGAACAAGAGTCAGTTATCATTGGCGTTTTTTCTCATCTATTTATTGAACGTGTTGTCAGCTTTTTTCTATGTTGTTATTTTTTCCTGATAACACATTGATGTATACACATGATTTGCTTGCCAACGTCAATGCAATTTTCTCAACTATACTTGATCGAAATGATTTCTGACGGATGCGCAGAAGGTGATAACATCTGTGTAGAGAATGGTTCTTCAATCGTGATCTTCGTCGCATGCTCAAGAGGATGATGTCATTGGGATGTAGATACTATCATCCAAGACTTGTTAAAACGTTTTGCGTGTTATTGGATCACAAGGATAAATTTTAGAATGTCGATCAAATAATAGAATTAGTTTGTTTCACATCCAAACGAGAAGATTAACATCTATACGCGCTTGCTTCAATTTCGTGACTTGTTTATCTTCTCAATCATCAACGGAAAAGACCTTAATTGCCAATAAAGCACAAGAAAGAAAACAAACTGTTGATAGCATTCTATTCATTTCCGCGTGTGATGAATCTCAATAACAAAAGAATACGTTTGACTTAGTTAATTACTCCCAGAATCATTCGTTTCTTGAATTGCATGCTCCTATTTAAAGAAATTCATGATATTTTCAGACATCCTCGATTGACGCTTACAATAGAAAAAGGACATAAAAGTTCCTCATGGCTAAATACACATGTTATTGTCTCTAGCAGTTGCCTCATTGTCAATCTCAACATTGTAGGCATGAGCACGTTTTTATTATACACTTAGAACACACAACGGTGATTCAATTTGATTGACACTATACAATTATGCTGTCTACACCAAGTAATCAATTACCTCGCACATGAAATTAACTTTCATGTATCGTTTCAATGAACTAAGCAACAAGAGTAGAAATGCTTTAAAACTATTACGTTGTTAAGTTTTTTTTCTTATTCCAAGAAATTTCTAAGAAAAAAAAAACAAGTTGACAGACGAGAAACTCATTTCAGTCTGAAGCGCCTGCATATTCATCTTCTAACAATGGCTAGAGAATCATTTTTCTTAATTACATCGGCGCTGTTCATTTTTTTGACGTTAATTACCATTACATTTGCATTAATCACCATTTTAATTATTGTTTACAATTGGAAAAGTCAAACACGATCAATAACGAATCTTTTAACTTGCAATTCATGTTTTACCCTGCTCTATCACTCACTAGCAACGCTACTCGAAATTTTGTTTCTACCTTTTCCAGTTAACACAATATTTTGTCGAATTCGGGCCTACATTTACTATTCTTCGTGTATATCATTAAGTTATTCGTATTTAATTCATGCCATATCTCGATATTTCATCACCATTCGTTACCAACATAAGATTCTTTTAACGTTTCATATGAACTGGATATTAATCGTTCTAAATTGGTTCGTCAGTGGATTTTTCGGTATGATTCTGTTATTCATACCATTGGCATTGCAGTACGAATACGAATCTCGGATGTGTTTGCTTACTAGTAAAGTTTTTCACACTTCAATCATCGGCGTTATGATCGCTTTTTGTTTTCCATTTTTGGCCATTATCTTTCTCTACGCTCTGATTCTCTATCATACAACAACAAGTCGTCGGCATCTGAATGTTTTTAACACCATGCGATTGCGACGGAATTTGAAAGTTTTTCAGATGATTCTGATGTTTGTTTGCATACTCGCCATTGGTGGCACGCCTTATTTTATTTGTGTAATGATGAACCGTGTTACGCAAATTCCTTGGCCATGGTATTCGCTCTCGATTTTATGTATTTCCTTGTCCGCTGCATTAGAATCGTTAGCATTATTGTTTAGTAATTCGTTTGTTCAGAGACGATTTCTCGAATTGATTCATCTTCAACAACGCACTGATATCAATATTCTGATAGATCAGCATCAACACTCGACGAATTATAATAATCGCGCTGAAAAGATACCATTGAATGTTTCGCTTTTGACGACGAAGGATAATTTACGTGAAGAGAGTAAAGTGAACTGAATAGATTTTTTCGAGATATTTTTCTCCGTCAAGTTTTATTTACTCAACAGAAACTAAATGTTTTCTACATTTGTCCACGGGATCAGTTGACCGGTGATCGAACGAGCTTGATCAGTGCATAAAAATAAGACAAGATCGGTTAATGTTTGAACATGATCATTGCCTTCGAAAGGTTTTGCCGATATCGATCCTACATGGAATATCATGAAGAGAAAAATATGAAGATATATGCGAATTTTCATACCGGGACAAATAATGTTTGATGTGATTCCATATGGACTGCCTTCGACTGCTAAAGCTTTATTTAGGCCAATCAATGCATAGTGTACAGTTGTACATGCTGATTGATATTCGTTGGCGATGAAATTATGCTCGTTGGCCTGATGATTGAATAAATATGAGAAAGGTTTTACAATCGCAAAAAAAAATCTTACTTACGATATGAATAATTCGTCCGAAATATTGACGTTTCATCCGTGTCCATAGAGTTTTTACCAATGCAAAAGTTGTATGAAGGTTCGAGTCGATATTTTCCGTCCATTTTTCGACTGGAAATTCCTCAATCGAACCTCTGTGATACCCTCGATGTGGTTGATTAATAATCAAGATATCAATGTGCTGAAAATCTTCGGCTAAGCTTTGCACATCAGCGATACTTCGTATTTGATTCGATACAAACTTAACTTGGCTGTTCCGATAAACATTTTCCTTACTCGGATGACCGTGAATAACAAGATCACAATCAAGTTTAGCAAATCGATGCGCCAGGTTCACACTGAAACTGTTTAAACCGCTAAAAATAAGCGCTGTTCGTCCTTTCATAGTCACCAGAGATAGAGATACTCTTTAGTCTATTTTGCATGGTGAAAGATAACGCATTGCCTTGAAATTCTCCAATGAATTAACACATAAATAATTCACGTAGATAACCATACTTGACAAAGTCGGCGAATTCTAAGAGAGTATTGAGATATGTTGACACTGTTTGATGTTCTTACCTTTGAATGAAATATGATTTGATCGATTACTGAATATTTGTCGTAGATGTTCATGGAATAAATTCAGTTTGGATGCATCATTTCCATGGAGTAATAGAAAAAGTGGTTCGAACTCTTGTGGTTCAATCGATCCATTGGAATTTTGATCAAATAAGTAATCGAACGTCGAACGTAACACAAAATGACTGATTTCCACTGCATCGTTAGCGAACAATGGTGTTATCAAATCGATGAACTGTTCAAATCGCATATGAGCTAACTCTAGAGATAATTTAAATGGTTTATATGTGAATAATCTTTCGTTGTTCATTACTTTTAGAACGAATATTCTTCTGCGCTTGACGAAATCGTTCTTCGAGTATTTGCAAACGATAACTTTGACAAGGATCGGCTCGTGACCAGCGAAATTCGACTAAATAACCAAAAAAATAATCTTGGCTCCCTTCGACAAACTCAAATACCAAACCTTGAACAATTCGATTTCGGATTGTTTTGACAGATTTAGAATATTTATGCATCAATCCATTTTGTTGCGCGGATGTCATGCTCAGCAATATCTAAACTAGTGTTCTTCTTCGATAAATTCAACTATTATTATATGCACGTAGGAAACGGCTCTTTTGTTCGATGAAACTGTCGACGATTATAAGAAAAAAAAAGCAATTAACTGTAGTTTCTAGTCCTTAAACATCCGCCTTGAGTTTGTTCGTACTCGTAGAATCAAAAGTAATTTCATTCAACAAAGGATCTCAGAAATCGTACGATTTTATGGTCTATGGTTAAGAGCACCATTATATATATTATAGTAAAAAAAGTCACATCAATAATAAAAAAAACTGTTTCACACGACAAACTTCAACAAAATCATGCAATAACAACTTAATCATCATCATCGCTTTCATTTTTCATACTTTGACGGATCGATGACCGAAGAAATTCATCAGCAGCATCATTCATGCCGAATGTTTTCATATCAGTCGGTTTCTGTAGTTTCTCTCCTGTTTCAACTGCACCGAATTCATACAATTTGTATTCTAAATGCTCAAAACGGCAGTTCATTCCACCAAAAGCAAATGGACCAATGAGTGAATGTTTTAGTTCGCCATTGTTGTAAACGAATATTGTTGGTAGATTTTTGTCTGGATAGTTAGGAATACAGACAGTTGAGACACTTTTGACGAATTTCGTTTGAGGATATTTTATGGCGAGTGAACGTAGATGATCACCGATGAGTGAACAAATAGGAAGCCTAAAAACAGAAAGGAATCAAATGTGCTTGTGGATATACTGGGTTTACCCTGATTTATAAAGGTAAAGTACAACCCAAATATCTGCTCCAGCTTGATTAACTTCTTTAACGTAGTCGATGGCAGAGATTTCAATCACCTCACCAAATCGAGCACGTGCAGCTTTTTCTTGCAATTCCAATAGTCGCTTTCGTCTGAAATGGGATCGAGAATGTCAGGCATGTATTACTGAGTGACTTTACCGATATTCTTGTAGGACACGTTCGTCTTCTTCGTCTTCGAGCTCGTCTAATTCGTCTAATGTTTTCTTATCTAACTGTTCCGCTGAAATACAAACATACTGAATAAATTGATGTGTCTATCTTTTGGTTTATCCTTACCACGAGAGATTTCGAATCGTTCTTCTTCAGTTTTGATCTCCTCTTTTGGTTCGATGATATTGAATCGCCGTAATTGGTCATTCCATTGAGTATCGGCGTTCGGATCCTTGAAGAGTCGAAAAGTAGAGGCGATGTGTAGAGAAATTCGACACAAATGCAACATACCTGCATGCTAGAGTAAGAGTATCGATTCCACGAATAGAATGTGTCGATTAATGATAGATGAATATATAGGAACGTTCGCGTGAGTATCAGTATCCATATTAGGAAACAGTCATCATATCCAATAAGAAATCAGTCGCAAATCCTGTTTTGGAGATTTCATCTTACTGGAAATATTTTTCGTGTAAAATCGAAATATGACATTTTGCGAAAATGACGCTCTCTTCTTTAGATTTATTAATTATAGATGTCGCTTTGGTCCACCGTCGGTAATAAACTCGACTTCTTCATGTTATTAAGAGTGATCAAATAATCGAAACGTCGAATGGATCATTGAAAGAATTGCACTCAACCCGTCACAAAACTTCTTGATCTTATTGAGCACAGTTTTATACGCGCGTTCCAATTCAAGGATAATTTATTTTGCCTCATACTAACTGCAGAGAAAACTATAGAATGTTGTTTATATGAGCAGTATTATGCAAACGGGTTTATTTTGATGTTTGTACTGGGATGGATATATTTTCGTTCTGTAATTTCGTCGACAAGCCATGTTTCTAGACACCTGCGCGGCCAAAAGTAATAAAGTACAAGAACGTTTGTATTTTCTTTGATCATTGCTTGCTCTTTCTCATATTTTGTAATAAGAGTAATATAAAAATATACGACGAAAACAATGGATAGAACGTTGTGCGTCAAATGCGACAAACAAAAAGCAACATTTAAATGCGGAGGGTGTTTAAGGGATTTCTGTTACAATCATCTGACAGATCATAAAATGGAATTGGGTAAACAACTTGATGATGTCGAAGGCCACCGGAACGTATTCCGACAATTGCTGATCGAACAGCAGAGTAATCTACGGCAACATTCAGTGTTGACAGATATTGATCGGTGGGAATCGGATGCGATAGGAAAAATTCAAGCAACAGCAGAGCAAACAAGACAAATCGTACTAAAATCTGTTGGTGAGCGTATGGAACAATTGGAACTTCGATTAAACAGCCTAACTGATCAATTGCGCCAAAGCAGAGAAGAAGATGACTTTTTTGAAGCCGATATCTACCGTTGGAATGAAGAGTTAACTCGTCTCACACAAGAACTAACGAAATCATCTCATATCAAACTACAAGAAGATACCACAGCTCTTATTATGAAAATAACTATCGATACAGGATCCAGTTCGTGTTCTACTGTTTTAACCGATTAACAAAGATCATTGAACTAGTTTTTATATTCTAGCATCGCTCTCCATGCCAACGATTGACCCAACGGCAAAATGGATACAGCATGGTATCACTGTCGCAGGCGGTAACAGAGACGGCAGTGGTTTGAATCAACTGTCGAATCCCTGGGGTCTATGCATTGACGCGAATCAAGCAGTTTATATTGCGGAATACTCAAATAATCGTGTTGTAGAATGGAAATTAAATGAAAATGTTGGCCGAGTAGTCGCTGGTGGAAATGGACGGGGAAATCAAATGAATCAATTGTATGCTCCAGCTGATGTTATTCTCGATGAACTTAATGATTGTTTGATCATTGCTGACCACGGCAATGAACGTGTCGTAAGGTGGCCACGTTCTAATTCGACGACTGGACAAGTCATTGTCTCTAACGTCGATTGTTGGGGTTTGGCCATGGACAACAACGGTTATCTCTATGTGGCTGATTACAATAAGTGCGAAGTTCGGAAATGGCGCATAGGTGATTCCAAAGGCGTACTAGTAGCTGGTGGCAATGGAAAGGGTAATCGTTTAGATCAACTTAGTGGACGATTTTATATCTGTGTTGACGAAGAACAGTCTGTATACGTTTCGGACGAAGACAATCATCGAGTCGTTAAATGGACACAAGGTGCCAAGCATGGTATAGTCGTCGCTGGTGGTCATAAAGAAGGAGCAAGTTTATCTCAACTATCGCGTCCGAAAGGGGTGATTGTTGATAAGTTGGGCACTATTTACGTAGTAGATCAAAACAATCATCGCATCATGCGTTGGTTAAAGAATGCTAAGCAGGGTAGTATTCTCGTTGGAAAGAATGGTAGAGGAGATCAAGCAAATCAACTATTCAATCCTTTAGGTTTACACCTTGATCAACAAGGCAATTTGTACGTCGTTGACAACGGTAATTGTCGAGTACAACGGTTTAATATCGATTCAAGTACAAATTTATAAATAAAAACATACAACTTCAATGAACATTTGACATCGCTAAGTAAAATACTTTTTGTGTATTTTATATTAGATTCGGTAATAAATTAACGAGAGAATTCATCTTTTATATACAACAATAACACGAAAATCTTCACTAATCTAATAGAGCAATCACTAGAACAGATGACACCGTCGTATTATATTATGTTTTTTTATCAGATTTATTTCTTCTCTGAACGAGACGTTCGCCAAATGTCATCATTAAGAAAATGTTCCGTGATTATATAATGTTGTAGTGGAAATATTAATGTGAATCATGGTTAAAATGAAGTTAAATTGATACTTTATGAACAGTATGCCAAACGGATTTCTTCAGGCAAACTTTTTTGTCTCTAAAATCAAAATCCGGATTTCACAAATGAAGCAATTAGTTTTTAGGATAATAAATTCATACTTTTACTCCTGACGATGTCTCTACTTTACCAGCCGTCTTTTTTCTTTTTGTGATTGGTATTTCTGCGTATTGGGTAGTGTCCTCGTTCATCTTAATCGAGCATGAACAATTCGGACAAGATATTGTTTTGACCGATGTATTCTCGCCTGCTTCTTCTATCAACAAACGTAGGATAAATTGTTCTCGAACGCTTTCATTATGATATTTTACCTTCTAAAACTGTTGAATAGACCATTGTATCCCAGTTCGGAATGGGTGTATGGCCATCAGTAGCTATTGAGCATAGTGTAAAAGCCAACTGAGACTTAGTAAGCTGATGCTTTTGTATCAGTTGCTTGGGTGTTAATTTCTGACTTTGTCCAGGTGTTTGTTTATCAGATGAACCAAGCATGTCTTGATATGGATGAAATGGTTGCAATGGTTGAAGCGATTTCAAAGCATCTTGTTTGGTTTTGATTAAAACCAGATAGATCCTGTAAACACGTGTTTCAGTTGGATGCTTATTGAAAACGACAATGATATTTACTTCATGATTCCCAATTTATCACATCGAATTGACTCATATATTGGATTACAATCCGAGATTTCCGACGAGTCGTTACTAGCTTGAAATTTGTATGGCATCACATAACGATCATTATTCACATCGGGTACTGTCACCCAGTCAATTCGAACAACTCCTTGATGCCCGAGAGGTACCTATCGAACGAATATATAAGACGAATTAGTAATAGTAAATCTTTGAATGTTAATTACTTTTATGCATATGAAATGATTACCCCTACGGTCAGCCACATATCTGGGTTTTCGATTCTTCCCATTTTGTCCAAAATAATCACTTTTGTACCGTGGTCGATATTTTTCTTCAAGATCATAAACGATCTCGATTTTAGAGGATGTTAGTGGTAAGCGTTGAGAAAAGCCCACACCCACGGATGATGAAAGCGCTATTGATTTTTTACTGTCGCTTTTCTTTTTCGCTTTCTCTATTCATATTATTATATAGAATACCATCCATTGAAAACAGATTCTTATTTACTTACCAGGAGTGTAAACTCGCTCAATCGGTAAGACAAGCAGATTTTGATCAATTTCCGGTACAAAATCTAAAATTTAATGATCACTCAAAGAATTCTTTATATGTTTAGTTTACCATTGATTATGGATTGCGGTGATAGGAACAGTTGTTCTAGTTCATTTGGTTCAGAAATAGCAAGCGAGTCTATATATTTATTTTAGAGATAGATTTCCTATAAAATTTCATCTGATCCTACTAGCTAAATTCTGTTCATTGCAGCTGCCCGATATGGGAATATCGTCGAAAAAATCATTAGGTAAGCCGAATCCAGCTCCACTGTCAACCAGCGTACCGAACGAATAATCTTCAAACGAAAGATCGATGCAACCTGATTCAATATGTATGTCTTGAGCCGTTGCACTTAACATAAAGTCATTTCCATTCATATTGGTTTGTTACTAACTTTCCCTTGGAATTATTGTGAATACACGGGAAAGTAAATCACATTAACACTATGTTGTATAAAGAAGGTTTGTTTGCGACTGAAATTCTTTGTATATATTTCCAAAAGGGTTTCTATACAAACCTTGTTGCGCAGCATATTTATACACATAGGTACTTGTTAGCTTGGGGTTTTTTCCAAGCAGTGAGTCATATGCGGAAGAAGAGAAATAAAAAAGACAGAACAGAAAAAGCACATAAACATGCAATGTTGCCAGTGACTTGGATTTCAACATAGTTACGTGACATATATATGAGAATCATTTATTCATAACGGCAGAAACTATCAAAACATTGTTTAAATCCATCAGAATATTTATAACGGTTTTCTTTGATGTGCATTAAATGCAGCCGTATACTGAAGTGTCTATTGCTCTTTCGATAAATACATGTGCGTGAGAAGAGAATGTCAACAAGACGTAGCTATGGCGTCATGAAAAGTATTATGAAATGACTAAAACACGTTTCATATATCAGCGTGCTTTTGGCGACTGACTTTGTTGGGGAAAAAACCTTATCGAACAACGTCATTTCGCATTCTATCATGCATAGTTATTGGTAGTGAGATGAAAACGAAAAGAACGCGATAATATGTGCATGTTTATCTAAACAGAAATTCATGCGTATTTTTCTTTCTTCGAGAAAAATAAAACAATGCGATAGTTCGTTCTGCTTTGGAAACTTTCATAAATTCATTTATAGTCATAATAGAAAAATAACTTTTCGGCATCCATCAGATTCGTATTTATTTGTTCTTCTTTCTTCTTTTGCTATTTCTCTTGGTTGTGGACTATAAATATTTGAATAAGACGTATCGATTAATAACTGATTAGCATGGATTACTTTGGCACTTGAACATGAGATCGCGTCGTCGAACGAACGTTTGCTACTCGTGTTAGATGTGGAATTAGAAACAGCATTGAAATGATAGCAACAATTCGGACAGCATAAGTGTTTGTCAGTATCGACTGAAGATAGAAAATAGTATTCGCAGAAATGATTATGGTCGAGGAAAATAATGTTGTCTACTTAGTGGTGATACAGTTGTAGCAGAAGCTTCTTCCGAAGCAACTTTATTGCTCGTCTTTTTCGTCGATGAGACTTCACTGATAATGGTGGAGACAACTGTTGTTTGTGGGTGAGGCTCATAAGTCCCGTCGGACTTTTGTGTACATAGCGTAAACGCTATGTGAGATTTATCGAGTTGATATCGATTGATTAAGTCTTTAGGTGATAAAATGCCTTCATGAATCGGATCTAAATTATATTAGAATATCCGTGACAGAGAATTCTCTTCCATGCGTATGCATTACTCTGTTTCGTATTGTCGGTAACGGAAAAACACTTCAGTGGTTGACAGTAATTAAGTTGATCTAATTTCGATTTGATTAAAACAAGCTGTAGCCTACGGTAAAAGTCACACATCGTGTAATGAAATAACTCTTGTCGTTTGTATATCAAACCTCATGATAAACGCTTCTTTTGCATTAGTGTCCACTTTGACATAAATCGGATTTTCATCTGAAATGTTAATATCCATATGATCTCTCTGGAATTTATATGGACTATAGAAATGACCGTGCCCGTCGATGGACACAGTAATTAATGCAATGCGAATGTACTTGTTCGCTAAATCAGAATGATATACACTTGGCAACTAAATAAATCTGACAGACTTCATTATATGAATGAGATTTTACTTGTAGTGTTATGTGATGATTGTGCTCTCGATCAGCGACATATCGTGGATGGCGAACTGCGCCAGTCTGAGGAAAATAATCACTTTTATAACGTCCGCGATAGGTTTCTTCAATTGGATAAACGAGTTTTAATTTCGTTGAAGTCGAGTCTATTATATGAACATCGGCAGAAAGTGGTACCGATAGAATCGATGCTAAAGATGAACGGTTATCTCAAAGAATACATTGTGAAGTGAATTCTATACATGGCTTAGAATTTGTTCGACATGTAGGCAGAGAATTATCAGATGTGCATCCAACTGTAGAAAAACACGAGGTAGAAGTTGTCAAGTATTGATATACTCCATCAACAGAGGCTAGAGATAGAAACACAAAAACGTGGAATTGATTACTAATCAAACAAACTGAGTATGGGCGATCTTAGAGGTAGCCCATCAATATCTGGAAGACTGTCGATGTCACTGCTCCATGATTCTGTAATAGATTCTAAATAGATAAAATCGTAATGTATCGCCTATACATAGTCCAATGATACCAATCAGCGTGGTTTCTAATGAATTACAATAGTCGACTACTTGCACGTCTAAAGTGAAAAATCTCGTAGTAAAGATTAGAATTTCCTTTTGCATTGATATTACTGCCGTCCGTGGTACCTGTTCCACTTTTGTCAAAATCTAAACAAAATAATGAGTAGACACACATGATTTCCAAATTGTAGGTGCTATATACCTGAAAGATCGACTGTAAACGATAGGTTGCAGCTCATTTCAAGTCTTCTGACGCTTGTAGACGAACTATTTCTCAATTAGCTCGTTCGACTTGCTTAACAACTCCAGCAAACCACTCTGGACATCGATAAATACTGAAAGATCGAACAGAATGGCAAAAAAGACATGAAATCAGTGTGCTATGAAGAAAACGGTGTCATGTGCTTATTGACAATATATCAACCCTGCGTTAGTGTTGTTGAGTCTGGGCAGACCCACTTAAAAGTTTTGTTTTGGCTATTCTCGTCTCTGAGAAATAAACTATTTACAGAGTGGATATATTTAGTAGCTTTATGTTGGAGTAGAACAGCAAGCAAAAAAAATTCATATTACCCTTGATGTTTTGGGAAGATTTTTGAACAGTCGAAATTTGCGAAAAATGAGAACGATAACGAAGGGTTAAAACACGTGAAGTTATATTTCAGAATGATAATTAAAGAAAAGTACGTCTACAGCTTTATAATTCTTCTATTTTGACATACCATTTTATATTGATCTTGCTTTTATTCCCTTCTTGGTTTTTTCCAACATATAATTCAAATAGGTATTTTTACCTTTGACTCATTCTGTCATCGTTCTTATTCTACTCTGGCCTTTTCTCTTAGTATATGTTGTTTACCGTAACACATACGTAAAACGATGGATATGGTTTCATGAGAAATTTCAATATACTCGGAAATTGAGTATCCAAAGCAAGCATAATGTCATGATTCGTAAATATCGAAAGAAAAAAAGTGATGTTTTTAATATGTTTTATTTCATAACGCCTGCTAGGAAAGTTTTTAACTTTCACAGGGTCCTACGACTACTTTCGAGCGGTTGTAGGAGGCGACCCTGGGCTGCTAGTAGCCAACCGTCTGGTCATGAGGCTAGCAATCTCTAGCTGGACATTAAACAATCATTGCTAATGAAAAGAAACATTATAAGTGCGTAAATGCACAAAATCATGTTTTTTTCGGCGGGTGGAACGTTCGATCTTGTACAAAGCAATCAAAGAAGGAGATCATAGTCAAACAATTAAAGAAATATCAAATAAAAATAGCCGCACTTAGTGAAACGTGTATGTGTGATTCCGGCATAAAATTAGTAAGCGACTACACGATGATCTATTCAGGTGCACCAAACGACAGAAAAACACGAAAAGCTCATGGTGTGGCAATCTGTCTCGATCCGGTTGCCACAAAGGTTTGGAAGGATTCAGGGAGCGAATGGATACCAATAAATGAACGGATTATTAAAATTCGACTCTACTGTGCGCCAATTTACATTACTGTAATTGCAGTCTACTCTCCTATTAATCCGAAAACAAAACAAATGAGCGATGAAAGTGACAAATTTTATAATGACCTACAAGATGCATTAAACGATGTATCTACGAAAGACATGATCATCATTATGGGTGATCTAAATGCGAGAGTTGGAAATGATCAACAAAAACGACATCAACACGTACTGAGAAATGGAATAGGGCCATTTACAGTTGATATAGAAAATGAAAATGGAACAAAGCTTCTTGACTTCTGCGAGATTAACAACATTTTAATCTCTAACACATTTTTCAAACATAAACTAGTGCATCAAACATCTTGGATGCATCCAAGAAATAAAAAATGGCACATGATCGATTTTACTCTTGTAAATAAGAAGTTTCGGTCAAGCGTTGAAGATGTGCGAATGCTAAGAGGGGCAGCAGGTACAATAGGAACTGACCATCATCTTATGCGTGTCAAAATTCGATTGCATTTAAAAAGCAGAAGAAAAAATGCTAATCCGAAGAAAATAAACGTTGATAGTGCCAAGCTAAAAGATGACAAATTACTAGAAGCGTTTCAAAAGGATCTTCAGAACACATTTGACAATACAAATGTAAACACAATTAGCATTGATCAGAAATACGAACTTTTTCTGTCACAGATAAAAGAAAAGGCCAAATATCATTTTCCTGTCGACAAGAATAAGAATCGAAAAAGAAAGGAATGGTTGACAAACGACATTATGCAAGCTATCGATCAAAAATCGATAGCTTTTATCGAATGGCAAAATAATCGTGGTTCTAAATCAGAATATAAATTTCGCAATAGATATAAACGCCTGAGAAAAACTGTCAAAATAATGACAGAACATCGCCAAGAAGAATATTGGGATGAAATATGCGAAAATATAGAAAAGTCTATGAAGAGTAATGATCCTATGACGGCTTTTTCCATCATCAGACGTCTCAGAGGTGGATGTAAAAGAGACGAAAATATGCCAGTGGAAGATAAAAGTGGTAAACTCTTGGTAAATTCAAAGGATACCTTGAAACGTTGGCGTGAATTTTTTCATGATACACTCAACGTAAATTCATCGATCGATCAAAGTCTCATTGATCTAATTGACACACCGCCTCTGTCAATAACTGAAGAGCGGCGACAAAACTCTCCAATATATATTGAAGAAGTGAGAAAAGCACTAAGTCAAATGAAATCTAGAAGAGCTCCAGGTAGCGATGAGATCACAGTGGACATCCTAAAAGCTGGAGGTGAACCAATAATACAATGGTTGTTCGAATTCTTTACTGATGTATGGGAGAACGAGCATATGGTAAAAGAATGGAACATGACAACTCTAATAAAATTATACAAAAATAAAGGTGATAGGAAAATTTGTGACAACTATAGAGGCATCGCACTACTGAATACAACTAGTAAGATATTCTCACGTATTATACTCAACCGTATTCAAGATTTAGTAGATTGTCAGCTATTAGAAATACAATCTGGTTTCAGATCAAACAGATCGACCATAGATCAGATTTTCACTTTGAAAATGACAATGGAAAAGAGAAAAGCATTCAATAAACCTCTATTCATGTGTTTCATTGATATAACTAAGGCCTATGATTCAGTGAACCGTGAACTCTTATGGAAAGTATGTCGTAGTTACGGCATTACTGATAAATTGGTTAACCTATTAAAAATGCTATACAAAGATTCAATAGCAAAAGTGAAAATAAATGGTGAACTGTCTGATAGTTTCGAAATGAATACAGGGGTAATGCAAGGAGGTATTCCATCTCCAATCCTATTCAACATTCTATTTGACTTCATCATAAAAGAAGTTATTAATGAAGCTGCTGTATCAGGAGTGAGATTCTCTTATGGTAGTAACGACTTCTGTCACGGAAAACACGAAAAACACAGTGATTTCGACATATTAGCATTATTATATGCTGATGATTTAGTTGTAATGTGTGACAAAATATGTGATCTAGAAAAATTCATTTGTTGTTTTGAAAAAGTAACACAGCAATATGGTTTGACTATGAGTATTAAAAAAACCTGCGTGATGTCACTACAACACCTGAAAGAAGATCAACAGAAAAAGGTTGTAATAGGACAAACAATCAACTATGACAATGATATTAATATAACTATTAGAAATCAGAAAATTGAAATAGCTGAATCTTTCACATATTTAGGTTGCACTATAACGAAAGATCAGCGACATGATACAGAGATTTCTATAAGGCTAAATAAAGCTTCTAAAGCTTTCAATTCACTAAGACATATCATATGGCATAGAAAATCAGTCTCTATAACAGCAAGACTTCGAATTTTTAGAGCTTGCGTACTGCCAGTCTTATTGTACGGTAGCGAGACTTGGGCTCTTACCACGACACAAGAAAAAAGGATAACTACTTTCTATAATAAATGTTTACGGACAATCATAGGAGTAAACTTAGGTGACAGGATGTCAAATGAAACCTTATTAAACATCACAGGTCAACCACCAATTGAAAACATCATACGTAGAAATAGATTAAGATGGTTTGGGCACGTCAATCGCTCTATTAATCCGGATGGTTCGCCATCTTTAATTAAAAAAACGATGTTCTCTTATTTTCATGATGAAAAGAGACCTAGCAACATAGGGCGGTACAAACAATGGGAAGATAAAATCCTAAAAGACATTCACGACACACAAATACAGAACTGGCGTAGACTAACGCTGGACAGGAAAAAATGGCGGGAAGTAATAAACAAAAATGTCTATGTAAAGCCAGTCTCTGTAAATATCAAAGATATTATCTATAAATATAGAGATAAATCATCTCAAAGAAGAAAAACGGAGTTAGCCGCATTGCACGGTTTAACAAAATTGAAAGTAACAGAAATTTTGGTAAAAGAAAATGATAAATACAGATGTCCTGGTTGTCAAACGAATTTTAAGCCACAAGGTATCACAAATCATGTCAAATCATGTGTGGCAGCAAAAGGATGGTGCAACGCAAATAAAATCAAGTAAATGAAATGATGGCTTTTCAACTACTATAATTGAATTGGGATTCACATGATGGTTATTACCTAAACTGTTCATCAGAGGGTAATAGCCTGATAATATCTTCTTTTCAACGCTGGTGGTGATCAACGTGGTGCTCGTCGAAAATTAAACAATAGACTTTACTGTACATTTTTTTCTTTCTTTTTTATATTTTTTGTTGTTTTTTGTTTCTCACCCAACACCGGGGACGGTAAGGGTATTTAAATAAATAAATAAATTTATTTCATAAGAAAATCATGAATAGATGAAATTTCCATTGGATGAAAGTCAAAGAAAAAGAAGTGGTATAAGTATAAATAATTTTTCTTCCCAGCTTGGCCAAAGAAGTTTGCTTAATATGCGCGGATGAGCCCCTTCAGCTTGGGGCATTGTTGCTGTCCGTATCGGACGTTATAGAACTACTGTGTACACGAGTTACCTGAAAGAAAAACGATTTTATCATAGAAGAATGGCTTATATTACAAGTTTCAATACCGGTAGTCCCGATGTTGATGATCGCAATCGTTTCGGTGAGTTCGATATTTGTGAATTCGAACTAACTTCGTCATCGGAGGAGACACTTGCGACCGAGTCTGATGCCAATCGTTTCTTCGGCTTTGTTGGGATGATCGCTAAACATAAGAAAAAGTCATGAAAATATGCACACGCTAAAGTCAGATAAAAGCCTACTCTCATCGATCAAATTGGTTTCGCATGTATTGTTCGTAATGTAAACAACTTGGTCTTGCTTCATCGCCAGATGAAATACGAATTTGTAGACCGACAGGTTGTACTCTGCTTTGAAACGCTTCCCTCTGGGCACGTTATCCATATTTGGCTCGTTTGGAACGGTATCTATAGTTCATAGAACAAATGATTGTAAATGAGCAAAAGGTCGCCGAATGTATACGAACAGTTTTCCTGTGGTCCAAACATGGTATTCGCATCGAATGGAATCAGGTTGAATGTATATTCTTCATACTTTTTGTATAAAATCGATACATGCGGAAATCTATCGAATCCAAAGAATAATTTACGAACAGATCTTTCGAAATATTTTACATACCTTTTCTGTGACGCGTCAATATCGGCATGCACGAGTGGTATGAATAAGCATCCATGCCCAATCTTTTCCACGCCATTTTCATGGCACATAATATCATGTGAATGAACCATACTTTGGTTCATTGGGTTGTTGGCATCTGTTGCGATGGTCATAACAATACCTAGGGTTTGGTTTTGTTCTAGTACGATTGATCGCAAATCCGGTAACTAAAACATTGGAAGTCGCATGAAAATATTTTTTGTACTAGAAAGACAAAACGTACTTTAACAGTCATTGGATGGTAGCGTGAATCGGGTAAATACCGACGACCATCACATGCATAGCGTGAGCGATTGTTTCCTTTCGGTTGCTGAGAAATAGACACGTTGCCAGTAATGAAACCCAACAACGTCGGGTGTATTTGATACATTATACCGCTTTCATTGCCATAAGCTTGTCGTGGAACTGGTGGATTGTGTGCTATTGCTAGCGGTTGATTCGCGTCCCAGTCTTCAGCGAACGGATCATTTTCTATGATTTGCAAAATATTTTCAAAGTCGTCTACAATTAGGACAAGATATAGATGATACAAAGTACTAGTTTTAGAAACTAACCTATCTCCACTTGGTTTAGCTCTGCGGTGCCATTTCCGATCTCTATTTCAGTATTTATGTCATCGAATTGAAATGGAGAAAAGCAATCAGGCAGAATATTATCAATCTCTGGAGCTTGATCTAAACAACTTGAAGTTTTATGAATTGTTTTGATGATATTTCCACTCACTCGAGTTGAAAGAGATATCGTCAAAAGCATTGGAAAAATCTCCGTCAGAAAATAAATCCAGTAATGCGTTGTTTATGTCCGACATAAATTATAATCGTGAAAGCGTAGTTAACTGTGTTGTATGAAAAGGCTTTGTAAAAATAAGAAGCCGCAGCGTACTGTCTACGTCTCTTTTAACAATCCTTTTCTCCCCTGTCTGGGCGACTTTTTTGTTTCGTTCTCTGTCATGAGTCAGCTAAAAAAGAGCATCGACAATAGGAGAAAAAAGTTATATATAGCCACAGATGAAGATGGAAAAAACCAACTCGTCTGTCGTAATAACATGTCTATGTACTTTGAATGATTGAAGACAAACCACTCGTGTTTTTGTCGACCTTTGTTTCTGTTTCCTATGGCGCATCAGCCAGTTTCGTTTGTTTGTGAAATTTTTCGTAATGCTCTCGTCAAAATATTTTTTTATTCGTGTATTGAATGAAGAACGACAAAAAAGATAACAAGTGCAATTGAATTACACAAGAATTTCTGCGAAATAAATTACTAAAATTAATTGATGGAACGCGGTAGAGGCCTTTCAGCAAAGCTTTTTGAAAAAAGTTAGTTTTGATTAAGTTTATGAATGTTTTCGTCGCTTGGTCGATTTTGATGTCGATGGACGAGAATCAGCAACTTCGTCATCATCGATTTTGTCGGTCTCAATCGGACGTTTTTTCTTCGCAACTGGCGCTTTTTCTAAGATAAATAATGCGAAATAAATGTTACTGAAATAAAATTTATTGCATACGACGTACTTTCCTCCATCTTCTTAGTTTTGCAAGTTATATCGGTAAAGTGAAACGTGTTATTTTGTTCAATTAACAATTGACAATTGATTCGACTAGCTTTCAAATTATGTTGCTCGAAGAAAGTCTTTGCTTCGGCCACAGTCAGTGTTTGTTCTTCATCGTCATCTAAAATGCATTTGTTCGGGATTAAGATGAAGAAAAGAGAATGCGTACGTACTGCTCCCTGTATTCCATAGATCGAACGTAGCCAAGCTACGTCTGTAGTCTGTTAACTTTGTTTTAATAAAGGATAATCGAGGTAAACTAAACATAAAAGTTTAATGTACAGAAGATTTCTTGGCGAAAGCGAGTTTCCTTACCTTTTCACCCCATTGTTGATTTCATCAACGGATATGGGGACGCAAACAGTTCCGTCATTTAATGTTGTTGTGTTGCTGGAATGATATTCCAATTTGTTAGGATGAAGAAATACAGAAGCCGACGGATCATCGTTGTCCGTTAGAAGTATAAGCCGAAGATAAAACTGCTGACCAGATGTCAGTTTTACTTTTTTTAGGTCAGGTAACTGAACAAGAAAATAAGTCGTGGTAAAGAAGAGAAAAGCTATTCTACCTGGATGACTATAGGCTTGGTGCGACACTTCTCAATTTGTCTTGGCCCATCGCTTTTGTAACGAATGCGAGGATTGGTTAACGGCTCAACTAAGACTAGCATGGTGCGTTCTCCAATCGATCTATCGATGTCTTGCAACTGCAGCTTATCGATTGCTGTCTGTACCGATTTGGTCATTTCGTCAAGTGTCTAAAATATTGATCAGACACACTTGTCAACATATGCGAAAGTACATATTACTTACCAAACCATTTTTATTCGAGTTCAGCTCTGACATTGTATAATCTGTTTGTGATGGGTCGTTTGGTGCCAATTCTAGCACAATAGCAAAGCATCTATCGTCATAACGGAGGAAAAGACTATTTAGACATACCGCACGGAGTCGTTGTGATAGTAACTTCATGCGATATACCTTAAATTCGATCAAAATTAGTTGATTTATATAGTACGTAAAAATAACTAGATTACTTTGATAGGGTTCGACCGTGCTCATGTCGTCACCGAGCAACAACTGATCACTGTTATAGTCTGTAGGCGTGTCTGTTGCCGCTACTAGATCGTTACTTTCATTGTCAATCTCTTCATTCTCGTTGATCGAGAATTGTGTGTTTAAAAATCTTGGCAGGCAAGGATCGTCATCTTGAAGTAGGCCATCGTTTCTGTTTTGAGGCTCATCCAAGCCAGCGAATTTTTCCTCAAGGTTTTGAAATGTACTATGGTCATAAGTACATTGTAGAACTGAAATCAATAGATTAAAGTGACATAATTTCGTATCTTATAGTATCGCTTACTATCATCAGACGGTTGATACGCCATGGTTGTATAAAAAAAAGTATCTAGAATAACAAAAACAACTGATCTTCAATGTATTTCGAGCAATGATTGCCAGTCACAATCCATCTCATAAAACAGAAACTCATTTTTTCCCAAACTAACGTATCATGCTTCGCTTTGCAAGAAGGAATATGATTGGTGGACCCGAAATCCTATTGTAATGCAAGCGAAAGCATTCTCAATATATCGAAGAAACTACACTGTGGTGAGAGCAACAGATCGTCAGTTTACATTAAATTACAAATAGAATGACGGAAGACAAATAAACGAGAGTAAGAGAACGGCAACGAAAGATGGCTCGGTAAAATCCAAGTGAACCAAATGAGTAAAAAAAGCATTTATTATGGTAAAGTAACACTTTGACAAAGAGTTTGTGAGTAATATGAAAAACAAGAGCGAGTAAATGGAAGCATTTTCTTCCATAATCATTGACAAATATACGACTGTGTACCATAAGAAAATGTTTGCATATAGTCGATACTCGATAAATCGTTTTCATGGAAATTTCTATTGAGAAAACGAATGAAATGCAGACTTGTAGGACTGAAGTAGATTTGTGATGCAAATAAACCGTGTAACTTGTAAAAGTATAGTGTCATTTCCTGCGAGTACTTTATTCGCAAATATTTGATCGAATATTATTCTGATTGGGACACTGATAATAAATGTGTCTTTACGTCTTTCGAATAACTGATGCAAACAGTTTTCCGTAGGTTAAAAACGTGACGTTTATTACTTTCTCAGCCATTGACACAAACTTCGAAATTTTTTATGGAATGCAAATTTTCTATTTATTAGAAAAAATTAATCCGGTAAATTCCCGATTATATAACTGACGAATTTAAGTAAACAAAACGTATACTTCATTTATTCATTATCATCCAAATCAAAGTCATCTTCAAGATACAGTTGATCGACTGTTGTTGATTGTGCACTGGATGAATTTGAACTTTCACATGAATCAAAAATTGCTTGTCTATCGCAGTTTAAACATCTGTCTGCTTCAAAGAAAAAGAAATACAAAATAAAAATATTTTCAATTAAATCAGTTCGATACGTACGGGTGTGATAGAGAAAGTTAACACGTTTCACTTTTGTTCCACTGTACGTGATAACAATAGGCACTACGACACTATGCTGACTATTTTCTGGAAATGGACATCGTGGAGTTCTAAATTCAAGTGTTTTCACATCGATATATTTAAATGTGACTGAAGCATTTGGACTGCCAGGATATTCGAAATAGATCTCACAGGCTAAAAAGACGATACATTACCAGCAAAACTGACATTATAATGAAAATCGAATCACTCACGTTTTCGTTTATCTAAGTCTGGTATGAACATCAAAATAGTTTCACCGCCATCCCAAGAACCTTTAGATGGTGCAAATCTAATGCATGTATTTTCATCATTAGTTGTATTCACAGGTGCGCTCATAATGACCGAATATACAGAAGTCGTACCATATATAACCAATGGCGAACCATTTTCGCTTCCGACAACAGAAAATAGTAATTGAGATTTTCCTAATTGGTAAGTATTAATGATTTGTCGAGGATCAACGACAGGACCGATACGATTTTCATCTCGACGATCAGTATCCAGAATGTATAACGATCCGATATTTCTTAAATCATTCTGGGTTAATTTTGCACGCCTGATACGAAAACTAAAATGGAAACGAAAATTAATATTCCAACCGAGCATTGCTATGGATACAATACTTACCTTTTCCTGCCTGTTTGACGTTCATCGTCTGATACTGCAAAATAAATCGTGTTCATTTCCTTGTGTAAGATTGCATCTGAGTCCGGTGTAATAATTGGATACGGATGTATGCATCTTTCTGGTGCTTGTTCCCATGGAACGGTCACTAATGTTACTCGAATATGTGTACAGTTTTGTCTCCATATGTCGGGAATCTAAGCAAAATGAATCATAAAATGATCACAAAACAATGGCAAGAATATCTACTTCGATTGTCGGATAATCGAAATCAGGCTGATCGCTACGTAGAAATCGATTCGCTCTGTGATTGTCGTGATTCATTTCACTGTTATATCGTTCTCTGCAGAACGCTTGCGGTTGTGCGAGGATACGCACTTGTTGGGTGCAGTTTGTTGCCATGAGTTCAAATGAAACTCAATCAATTGAATCGTTTTAAGTCTTTCGTCATCCACATATACGATGATATATATAACTATGGCTCAAGAGACTAGGAAAAGACCTAGACTGAAAATGCCTATGACATCTTTTGTTATTCTATTAGCACGTGTTTGGATATAACCTATCGTCATTCGTTTTTTCATACGTTCTGTTGACACAAGAGACAACGCCACGCAGTAGTTGCTTCCCTTGTTGTTTTATTTTGAGGTGCAATCGAAAAGAACGAAAATGTTGTACTATAAATGACTTCCGAAATGAAAAACCATCGTTGTGATTTCCTTCAGGGCATTTGCTGGAGACACTTCAAATTATAATTCATAACAAATTATACTATCACAATGCACAGATCTTTGTAACAAGGTAAATTTCCATCTTTTTAAAGTCTTCTCAATAATATCTAAAATAAACTTTCATTCTTAGTATCAATTTGCCCGTCTGACGTCCAAAAGAACTACAAAAATCCCTTTCTGAACGATAAAGTCCCACGATATGCTATGTGCGACTTATGTGAGTTAGACGTTTGGAGACAACATTCGACTCGACATTTTATTTGCAAATATTGACTGAGTGTGTCAAAGTAATTTTCCGATTTTGGTTTCGTGTTTTTTTCGAAAAAGAAAAATTTATTATTAATACTTTTGCGTGGGAAAGAATGAATCGATTCAAGCAAATAATCACCGACATATGTCAAAGGATTCAAGAGTTTTACTGTGATGGATGTGGGTGAATACACAGAAAAATAACGCAGCATACATACGATTGGTTTGTGCAAATGCAATAATTTTATTTTCTGAAGTCGTCTCTTTTTTTCTTTCAAATATGAGTTTGGGGTGAAGGAGACCTACGATCAATGGAACATTTTCGACAGAATACGCATCGCCGATCGATTTTGATTCAGAAACGCTAATTCCAATGGTCTTCGATTGGTTTTCTCCACCTTATCAAATCTTTCTTGCATATTTATCGATTTTCTGTCACAGTAATCAACAAATACATCGAGCATCTCCTTCAGCTCCTTGTCTTTTGCCATCAAATGAACAATGTTCTCTCCTTCATTGTTCACCGCATCGAGTAGTTCAGCAGAGTTCTTCAACTCCAAAAGAGCTTTGACCACACTGAGACGGTTGAGACGTGCAGCGTGAAGTAGAAATGATTCACCATTGTGATTCGTTGATTGAAACAGGTCGATGTTAGTACCCGGAATGAATTTGACGAGAAGATCTGAATGATTGCGTTGAGTGGCTATGTGAAGTAGTTGAGGTTGTTTTCGAATGAATGCTCGAGAGATGCGCAAGAACGGTTTCAAATCATTATCGGAAAATAAAGCCTCAATACTGTCGTCCATTTTATTTAATAGTATTCGATCCACATCATCAATGATCGATAGTGAAGAAACTATAAAACCAACAGGTGAAAAATTACTATTTAGCACAATACTTACATCCAATGGATGCATTTGATGCTGAATATTTCTAAACAAAGCAATAAGTTACGACTTTTATGGATAAAGTTCACTGACTGTCTCTTCAGACGGTCCTTGCTTGAAGCAAGCATCATCAGTTGTTTCTTCGTCGTCGAATGGCGTAGACCTGTGTCGTTTATTCAAATTCATTCGTTCCACCGAAGTCGTATATGACATAGTTCGTTTGTGACAATTCGCACACCGATCTAAACCGATAGAATCGTATTAATAAGGACAAAATCATATCATTGATATATTTACCTGTAGGAAGATAATGATATACAAGTGATTCTAGACTTCTTTTTCTTTGTTGCAAAACAATTGTCACAGGTGTTATCTGGTTGATAGGGTATGGATATATTGGTGTTTGAAATGATACCATTTGATCCTTAACTTCGAGATTTAGAACATGTTGTGACCATAAGCTATCTGTTCTTTTACATTCAAATTTTACTTCTAAATCTGTGAGAAAAACTTGATTAATAGAATAATTGACACATGCAACATGATCAAACCTCCATATATCTTTGGCTTTAGTTTCGATGTATAAAAAATCAATACAGTCTCATTCGTATCCTGATAACCATATCGCGGTGCATACTGGTACATATGGCAAGGAGTACCTAATGCGGATGTTGGAGATTCTAAGGTGTTTGACTCTCTAGACATAATATCTGAGTCAACATCTCGAGTGACATGCTCAGTCATTCGGTCAGAGAATATTGTCGTCGAAGAAAATAAAATCAACGATGGAACTCCATCATTGGAGACTTTCTTGCCAACTGTAAATGTTAGTTGAGATATTTCAAGGTTAAATTCTTTGATCGTTTCTTTAGCGGTTGTTAATTGTGGGGTTGACTGTTCATCTGCAACAATCACATCATTTCAGTCCTTTCTTAAAAACATAGACAAGAACTTACTCATAGAGTCGAGTACTCGTAAATCACCATACGCTTTTATGTCATCTGCTTTTTTCTTTACTACTCGTAAATTCGGAAAACTATGTTTAAACAAACCAAATTATATCATCACAAAAAAATTCTTTTTCCCTCATACCATTTGATGCCGCCAACGTCTTCTTCTAAAATCGGATACCAAACAGCTTGGTTTTGACGGTCATTATATTCTTCATTTTGAATGTCTTCCAGATCATACGGATGTATGTAGCGATGATTAGTGTTCTCATTTACAACAGTTACCAAACAAACACGTATGCAGTACTGCTCCGTAGAATTTAGATATACTTTTGGAATCTAGAGTCAAATATTTAGATTAAATACGCCTAATGGAGATAGACAACGTACACGAATAGCTGGATTTTTGTAATTTGGATTATTTTGGCTCAGGAGAACTCCACGTCGATTTTGGTTACTTTTGTAATCCGAACGGTATCGCAGTTTCGACGAATGATACGGTTGTGCAATTATTTCCAGTGCTTCCACGGATGGGAGAGATGAGAAAGGTGTGAATGCTGGAAAAGATGCGGTAAGTAAACTTTGGTTGATAATAATCGAAACATACTATACGACGAAGCTGCACTATTTGTATTCATTGTAGAATGGCGTTTGCGTATTTGGAAATGAACGAATAACAATTAGAAGTCTACTGTATGCTAGTTTGTATATATATACATATGTTTAGACGCATTTGGGAAGAAAACGAAAAAATTCCCAGTCTACCTTTAATTGGTATCTTCTATCCTTCCCGCGTGACATCATGATTCCCACAGTGGAAAAATAGTCATCCTTCGTGTTGTTTACGTTGAAAGAATACTTTCGTAAGCATTAAACTTATTTTGTAACATTCTTCAATATAGCCGTATATGAAAAGACGTGTTTTAGGTAGAGCAGTCACTATTTTTCTTCCCCATTTCTAACCTGCATGATTCATACAATTTCGGTACGTTCGAACTGGGGTTTTAAACGAACATCAATAGTTTCATTTTCACTACTTGAGGGAATGGATTGCATCGATTATCTATACCTTGAATTTGAGAGAGGTTCTTTCCTGGGCAACCTTCAACCTATCGTGTTACAAACATTATAAGCCATACTAATATTGTACGTTTTTTCTTCTCTCCTTTCAACACTCATTCATTTATAAAAGTCAATCGTACACTAAACTTCCTATAGGCAAAAAAATGACTTATGATCTAGATGTACAAGAGAAAAACTGTATATTAGATTCAATCAAAGTAATCAAAACGGCATCATAAAAGCGCATAAATGTGACTTAATAGACCTCTCATTTCACTCACAGTACATATGAAACTGCTTACTCTACTTACTCTCCTTACATGCACTACTATCTATGTGTCAAGTTTGATCTGTTATCATGGAACGTCAGATTTTCTCACTCCTATCATAATCTTGAACAGTGATTTCTGGGGAGGAAGGTGTACCAATGGTACGTGTACATGTACAAGTTATAAATATATCTGTAGTACAAATGATACAATTTGTACATTACAAGAACAGCAGTCACAAGCACGGAAATGGATGTGGATGATAGTGTCAAACACAACATGCCAGCAAATGTTACAGACTTCGCAGAAATTTGCCAGTGTAACATGCTGTTTCACGAACTATTGTAATAATCAACATTTGAATGGTGCGATAGATGTAAGAAAAAGTTTTCATAGACATTTTGTAGTTATCATACTAATTTTTCTTTCACATATATAATGGCAATAAATCTTCGATTCTATTTCCGACTTGTTCAAGGAAAACTAATATTTGCTCTCAACAGAAATAAATACCTCATATCAAGAACATCAGTACTACGAATCTAGATGCTTTCATTATCGGCTTCTGCATAATGCATTACCAGTGCTTCTATTGAATCAAGAACTTTCTTCAATGGCATATCAATGAACACAAGGTCATTTTGAATACGTGAAATTCAGTTTGGTATTTAGTCGCGTCTAAACTTTTGGAAAAACTGGAAACTGCCGACATATCCGCTACCGCAGAAAGTGTTCCTGGGGTTTGTGCGAGATCTCTACTAAAAACAACTATGAATCTTCGAGCAGTTAAGCTGCATTTTAAATCCCCAGATGCTCGTTCAACAGAATAAACCTAGCTGTTAGTTTTTACTTTCCCTATATTTTCACGATATAGTAATGTACAATTCATACATTTACAAAGATGAGAGCTACAATCACAGATTTGAGAAAATAGATTCAACTGCTGTCAAGGTTATTCCTTCAGCTAGAAATCAGCCACATAGTCAAAAACCATGTATATACGAATATCTGACTGTGAACAGACTACTAATAATCGTTGCACAGGGAAAATGTAGTCATGGATATGAAAGATTAACTGCGAATGGCTGCACATCAAGAAATCTTATAAAGTGAATAACCAAAATATCATTGTATAGAATAGAACGTTAGAATCGCATTATAAAATAAAACAACAGCTGATGATAATCACGGTCCAAGATGAGTATCGCTGTGTCATATTTAATTCTTTTACTATAATCGTACACAGTTCTTAAAGTAGACACAATATATGAATCACGATCCACAACTCTATTTTTGAATAGTTACTTTTTTAATCCAATGTTTATCTCCTAATGAATGAAATATCAGACGTCTTCCGAAAGGTGTACATTGACCTGTTAGTTTTTCGTATGATCGAGAGTCAAATCAACTGTTCTTTACGTGATTGTGTGACGGACGGTCGCATGAATCACGGTTCCCTATTCGAATACGATCATCTTTTCAAAATTAATATTAACCAAATACCAACATCTTCTTTCCCACATATGAATCGTTCCTATTTAAAGCGCATTTAATGATAAGATAAACGAGTAAACTTTATTATTGAATGAATCGTTATTATTTGTAATAAATATTTTCCACTGTCTTTCCTTTTTAGTCACGACTCAGATAAAATATCAGTTTTTTTTATGGAAATCCATCATGTTCCAATTATTCTGCTAGTTCGGTTGGAATCATTGGCCCATTTCCCTGTTTCTTCAGTTCTTCATTATCTAATAAGCATTTGAGTAGTTCAAGATCACCAAAGCGAACAGCAAGATGAATAAGATTGTCGCCATTACTCTTACAAACATCTTTATTGAAGCTTGGAAGGAGAGCTCGCACAGCCCAGAGATTATTGTGCACAATTGCTGATTCTAAGAGTCCCCGATTGGTTTTCTCCACCTTATCGAACTTGTCTTGCATATTTATCGATTTTCTCTCACAGTAATCAACAAATACATCGAGCATCTCCTTCAGCTCCTTGTCTTTTGCCATCAAATGAACAATGTTCTCTCCTTCATTGTTCACCGCATCGAGTAGTTCAGCAGAGTTCTTCAACTCGAAAAGAGCTTTGACCACACTGAGACGGTTGAGTCGTACAGCGTGAAGTAGAAATGATTCACCATTGTGATTTGTTGACTGAAACAGGTCGATGTTAGTGCCCGGAATGCATTCGATTAGCACATATATTTTCATGTTCACATTCTACAATTTCGTTGTCGAAAATTGCACGATTTGTTTTTTGTTATTGAAAAATCCTTGCTCTTCAGTGATTGCACTAGTGTCAACCCTTCCATGATAAAGCATTTTCTCTTTAACTTTTTACTCTCTAAGTGGCACATATAGAGTGCTTTTCCTCAGAAATAAACAGATAATTGAATAGATAGCAGTGCTTTAGAAGAATAAATGAAGAATATTCATCGTGAATTATTGCATAGATTTCCTCAATCTATCGGCAACGGCACTCTCTTTCTATTCAAACAATTGCGTAACATACGAACCAATAGATATTCGGTATTGTTGTGATTTATTCGCTTATGCATATACTACATAGCGAAATTCTTTCGTTTTCTGTTCTTACCACGCGTTAGGCTTTATACAGTCTCACGTATTAAGTACGGAATCTCGAATCAAATTCAACACGACGAACGCATTCAAATCTCTTCAGTAGGATTTTTTATTCTCCATTATGTACCCAGGTCAACAAATTCGATCGGATCTCACCGGATCCGACCATCCGACAAAATCCGATCGGATTCGAGACCGTCAGAATCCAATGCGATTCCGTCACCAGGATTTCATCGGATGCGTGGAATTCCTGTAGGATCTAATAAAATCCTATATTGGATCCGATGGGATCCGAGTATGGGATTGTTCGACCTGGGTACTAATGTCGTATATAAATAAAAGTTCAAACCCTAATGAATTCCTAAGTATGGCCAAATACGTGCAATCAACTCTCGCAAAAAACGATTTCTTTGATCTTTCAAATCTAGTAAGAAAAATGAAAACTTTTACTCACACACTTTTTTCTATTTAAGCCAGAACAACGCCATTGCGAATCACTTACTACCAAGCGGTGTCTTCGTCATTTTAAATACTACAATATGGATATTAAACTGGAAGCAAAATCAAAAACAGACAAAATATTTTTGACCATTCAAGTAAAGGGAATATTTTGCTTAAAAATAGCGTATGAATATTTGTCAGTTTTAGATAGAAGACACGTTTTTAAAACAGCAGATTACCCTCGACATTGACAACCCAGGTCGAACAATCCCATACTCGGATCCAATATAGGATTTTATCAGATCCTACAGAAATTCGGCGGATCCGATGAAATCCTGGTGACGGAATCACATTGGATTCTGACGGTCTCCAATCCGATCGGATCCAAAACATGGATTCCCTGGATTTTCTAAGGGTCATCATAGAACATAGCTAAAAAGATCGCCCATAAAATTTGCAACAACCGACGGGATTTTTCTAGTCGGATTCCAATGCAATTCCGTTTCCCGGAATCCGATCGGATTTGTTGACCTGGGAAGCACATGAAAAACGTTATTCGAAAATTCGAGTAAGATGGGACTGTTGGTGAAAAAGTCCTTGTATTCTCTTACAGATTTGATGAAGTTGACGAATTGGAACGTATCTTATATGGATATTTCAATGGGTTCAAAAACGTCATTATCAATGAATATTTTCGTGATAATGACAGTCAATTACCGTCAGTTAACAGTACTCAAGCATCTTGTAGTGAAGATATGCAACTGTTAAAACAACAGTCGTTGCCACTCGAATGCTCCTCTGGTCCACATGATCTTCCATATCCACAGATAACGCTTCGTGAGTCTTTCTTCGCCACATTCAGACCAGTGTATTTATGATTTGTATGGAATAGAATCCATACCTTGCCGTCATCACCACCATCAAATACATATGGATAATTTACTACATCCAGAATGTTCTTCTGATGCACGTGGTATGATGTCTACATATGTATCACCAACACAATTAATGCCATGTACTTATTCGTCACATAAGTATCATGCACGGAATTCGAATTTGCCTTCAATTGTGAAATGTGGTTCATGTTGGAAAGAAGCTCAAGACAATGACGAGATGATACGTTGTCAATCGGGCTGTGGGCTTTTCTATCATCGAACATGCATTGGATTAACAAAACAAGTCTTTCAAATGCTCAAACAAGAGATTTATGCCGAGTGGATATGCGATAAATGCTTTGCACAGCAACGTGTATTACCCACTAAATTCATGTCATAAATCTTTCCTACTCGTTCCTGTTCTCTTCTCTCTTCATGTGTGAATCTACTTGAATGATACAGGATAATAATCAATGTCAATTCCGTGCTCTTCTTATCTCATTTGATTCATTTATCATAAAGCTTAATACATATAAGCATGTGGTCAGTTCCAGTTCGAACTGTACTGGTGCACATCTAAATACATATAATAAACAAAATGCTGATAAATTTACCTATTAATTCCCTTTTCTGAAAGAAAGGGTTATAGCGACATAAATACAGTCGTGAAAATGCATAAAGTTTGTTTGTTTGCATAATTCAATCAGATTGCAGCATATTATAAATCAACGAAATTTATCTATAATCATCAAAGATTGACCACTGATGAGCTAACCGAGGTCTAGGATTACGAATCCGATGTCAGTTTTTCGAGACTTCTGACAGCTAATTAGTTAATTACTAATTAGGCAATGAAAAAATTTTTGGTTGTTGAGTAAGACTCGACCGAAGGATAATCGGCGTCGAAGATATCGAATCTGGTGTTAGTTTTTCTGTAGAAAAATTCTGTTCTGTTTTTTCAGAAAAAGTACGATTTTTTGCAAGAAAGATTTTTTGTGGGCGATAGTGTTTGAAGCAGCAATATGTAGAATAAAACCAAATAGCTGATTAGCGTCCGCCGGCTGGATACTCGTACTCATCAGTATATTGACAACATTACAATTATATAAACAGCTATATTACACAAACATTATCTGCTGCTAACCACTCGAAATAATACTTCCTCTAACAAATGCTGTTTTGGACAGTCACAATGGCACAACATTGGTGATTCTTTAACAGGGAATGAAAGGAAATGGTTTGATTGAATTTGAAGGAGATTTAAGCTAGATGAAAGAATGAAAGTTGGATATGTAACGGCTAGCCGCGAGTGGCCGATCGGAGGCAGACCGACGAGCGACCAGGCGTTTGTTTGGGTGGCTTAGAAGAGATAAAATAAGTGTAAGTAAATTGACTTTTGATTGTAAATAGTCGGAAGAGAGTCGATTAGTAAATCTTTAGAAACAGTGTTCCTTTTGCTTACATCTTTGGACAAATGAATTGAAAGCAGTTTGACATGAATAAAGTAGAAAAGGATTAAAAGAAAAGAATGTGCATAAAAGTGGCTTTAATTCGAAGCGGATTAGAGTGAGATATACGTTAGAGTTTTTATCTGAGTCTTGTAATTCTTTCAGAACAGGGTCAGCGAATCCAACAGATGAGCGCTACTTGTTGGTAGTAGCAAACGAAACAATTAAGTTTATTTTTGACTCAGATTGGTAAATACATTCAATGAAAACTAATTTACAATAAAGGAAAATATGCATTATAATCTTTCAAGCCAAGAGATATAAGTAATATCAGTTGTTCCAACTCTCAAGTGAGGTAAGATGATGCTATTGAACGATTTCATTCGACTGAATTACTACCAGATGATTTCTCCACATTATTTGACTGCGGAGTAGTATTCCAAATACAAAAGGTTTTTTACCAATGGAAAAGCT